CATTATGCGGGAAGACAATTTTGAGATGACGCCATGACCTTCTGCTAGGAAGAGTACTTTCGCCATGTGCACCAGCGTCGATGTGAACTGGCGCTGCACCCTGGTATGGTGCGTCTTCATCCACAGCTTGAGTCCAGGATGTGGTACAGAATCAGGGTTCCCAGCAAGAGCGTAGGAATGCACGACCACGACCCGAACTTACAAATTAATGCCTCTCTCTCTCTCGACACACACAATGACGATGCGTCCCAAGAAGCTGCACAACCATCCTTCCTGTAGAAGGCCACGTCGTTGCCAAGAGAAACGAGCCACTACGTACAACGCTACAACCAGGTCTAACGAGCGAAGAAGTCTTACCCTGATGCGGCATGATCGCATCCTGCTCCGACGCAAGTGGGACACGACAAATAACAATCTCGAGAGCGTCATTATCCCTGCAGTGCTGTATGTCCAGTCCAGCTCCATGCTGAAGCGAAGCCCTCGTCGATGCCACACCAGCTCGTTTCCATCTTGTGCGCCGCCGACTGCGCCACTCTCATCGCATCTGCCGCCACCTTCTCCGCCCGACGGGCCGCCGCCACCGCATCGTCCGCCTTGGAGTCCACCGTCTTGCCGGTGTCCTCAACATTCTGGAGGCGGCCACCCATGGTCGTGCTCATCCCCAGCATCTACTTCATCAGGTCCGCGTGAGTGGCTTCACCCCCCAATGCCAAACGCATTCAGCTGCTGCCACTCTTCCTCATCAGACTCAAGCGAACGAGCGGGAAGGCCGCTGGCTCCACGTCTAGCCATGTCTGCCCCGGCCACGACGACCCGCCCGCGCGCGCGGCAAGGCTGCTGGAAGACAGCAGTGCTTGAGCCAAAATGGCACAAGGGGGTAGGGGGGAGGGGAGGGGGGAAGGCTTCTCAGAAGTAGCCCCATTAGAAGAAGCCTTCCTCCCCCGGAGCCCCCTGTGCGCGCCGCCGAACGTGATCTAGGACACGGCAGCGTCAGAGCCCGGGGCGCCCACGTAACATCCTCGAGACGCTAGAGGAAATCGTACTGCAAGCGACGCCCCCCCCGCTCGTGGAACAGAACAGCACAGACGGCGGCATGACTGGACGCTTGCGGCGGTCCTAGGTCGGCGCCCTGGCCCCGTCCCCTCGCGCGGCCCCGCTGCCCCACTCCCTGTTACAAGGATGCCTGTGCGCTCTTGGGGCCTGCCCTGCGACCATTCCCGGACACACAGACGTTTCCTGGGGACCTCAACTTCCAGCGTGCCCTCGGGCGGACCGCGCAGCCCGTCCGAGAGCCGTATCGAGGGGCGGCCCAAGAGGTTCAAATCGGGGGAATGGGGGACTGCTTGATTTGAGCATGATCGACAATTCGGTTTTACGAGCGCCCAGGGCGGCCCCCCGAGGCAACCGAGAGAGCCGAGGGTCTCAAGAAGCCACCAAGAGGGGCCTCAAAAGCGCGCCCCCGACAGACTGCTGCAAGCACCCCACTCCAAAATGAACATGCTGGTCCCCAGGGGCTCCTTAAGAAGCCCCCTAGAGGTCAAGAGGCTCTCTCTCAGGAAGCCCTGGATAGACTCCAGGTGGTCCCCGAAAAGAGGCAAGAGGCCCATTTCCTGGCAAGCCGCGGTTCTTCCAACATGCCTCGAAGGAAGAACAACTGCATGAACAGAGTTCCGCATGGACTTCTCGGATGGGCGCTAGCCCCCCTCGCTGGCGAGCGGAGCAGCGGCGCCGGAGGCGCCGCCAGTGGGTTCCAGCTCCGATCCAAGAAATGTGAGGTCGGGCATGTCCCCCTACAAGCGGATGTTGGACGAAAAATAAACAATATGCTTATTGTTTTCTCCAAAAAACCGAGCATGATGAAACATAGTCAAAACATCGCCCCCAGATCATTGTTTGACTACTCTGGACTCTTCTTCCTGTAGAGGGACGTGCCCGACTTAAAAAGAAATGCGTGCGGGGCTCCGAAAGTATATGCTCCTGCAAACTGTTATGACTCGAGGGTCTTTCCTTTTGTTGTTTAAGAGCAAAGAAAACATGATCAAATATAGTCCAAACATCGCCTCCATACTATTGTTCGACTATTCTGGAATGTTCTTCCTATAAAGGGCCGTGCCCGACTTAAAAAGAAATGCGTGCGGAGCTCCGAACGTACATGCTCATGCACACTGTTATGACTCGAGGGTCTTTCCTTTCGTTGTTTAAGAACAAAGAAAACATGATCAAATATAGTCCAAACATGGCCCCCATAATATTGTTCGACTATTCTGGAATGTTCTTCCTGTAGAGGGACGTGCCCGACTTAAAAAGAAATGCGTGCGGGGCTCCGAAAGTATATGCTCATGCAAACTGTTATGACTCGAGGGTCTTTCCTTTTGTTGTTTACGAGCAAAGAAAACATTATCAAATATAGTCCAAACATCGCCCCCATACTATCGTTCGACTATTCTGGAACGTTGTTCCTGTCGAGGGCCGTGCCCGACTTGACAGAAATGCGTGCGGAGCTTCGAACGCATATGCTTACTCAAACTTTTATGAATCGAGTGTTTTTACTGCGCCCCCATACTATTGTTCGACTATTCTGGAATCTTATTCCTGTAGAGGGCCGTGCCCGACTTAAAAAGAAATGCGTGCGGGGCTCCGAACGTACATGCTCATGCACACTGTTATGACTCGAATGTCTCTCCTGCGCCCCGCGCCGACAAGCCAATGCACGAGGACAGGCCCGGGCCGAAGGGCACCCGACCACCCAGAACTTCGCGCCGTGGGCATCTCGGCAGCTACCGTCTCGGGGCGTTGACCTCAGGAACCCTCAACAAGGACTGAGGCCCTTTTTTTCAATAAGTTAACAAACATAATGCAACTTTTTCCATCAGTCAGCAAACAAGAAGGAACGAGGCCCCTTTTTTCCATGAGGAACGAGGCCCCTTTTTTCCATAAGTTAACAAACATAAGGAAACGTTCTTCCATACGTTAGCAAACAATAAGGACTGAGGCCCTGTTTTTCCATAAAGAACGAGGCATCTTTGTTCCATACGTTAACAAACATAAAGACACGTTTTCCATAAGTTAGCAAACCCTAAGGAACGAGGCCCCTTTTTTCCATAAAGAACGAGGCCCCTTTTTTCCATACGTTCACAAACATAAGGAAACGATTTTCCATACGTTAGCAAACAATAAGGAACGAGGCCCCGATTTTTCCATAAGGAACGAGGCCCCTTTGTTTCATACGTTAACAACATAAGGACACTTTTCCAGAAGTTAGCAAACACTAAGGAACGAGGCCCCTTTTTTCCATAAGGAACGAGGCACCTTTTTTTCCATACGTTAACAAACATAAGGACACGTTTTCCATACGTTAGCAAACAATAATGAACGAGGCCCCGTTTGTCCATAAGGAACGAGACCCCTTTTTCCATACGTTCACAAACATAATGACACTTTTTCCATAAGTTAGCAAACACTAAGGAACGAGGCCCCTTTTTTCCATAAGCAACGATGCCTCGTTGTTCCATAAGGTAACAAACATAAGGAAACTGTTTTCCATAAGTTAGCAAACAATAAGGAGCGAGGCCCCTTTTTTCCATAAGGATCGAGGCAGTTTTTTTCCATAAACTGACCTTCGATTGCCGGTCGAAGGCATAAGGAAAGCCTGAGGCAAGCTGCGAAACACTTGAGGAACGCGGAGCCCTTCCCCAACGCAAAGGGTTCCTTCTTCAGGGCCCCGACTGTATCTTCTTTTGGACAAGCGCGCTCCACAACTCGCAACGTACCTGCTCGCAAATGGCCTGGATCCGCCGAGGGGGATTTTATATCCATTACATCGAGGCAGACGTTTGATGTTTCGGACGTCTGCGCGTAGGCACTCTGCGATCAGTGGAACGCGCTCGGTGGCCTTTCATTGACTGATCCACGTGCCACATCCAGGTCAAGCGGGTGGTGGTAGGGGCCAAGACCCACAACTGGGCGGCAACGTCAGAGGAGGCTGGCTCCAGGGAGGAAGCATGGCGTTAGGATCGGCGAGCATCGCCGATAGAACCGCGAGAGGCCCCAGATGGCAAAACCGCACGTTACAGTCAACCCCTATAGCAATGGCGCGCGATGAGGATGTGCAAGGGCCTTGGGAACCCAATTCGAAGCTTTCCGCGCGGGGCGCGGCCAGACGAAAGTGGCCAAGGATGGACCGAGGAGAGGAGGATGCCAGGCTACCCTTGGGAAGGCTGCCCATCCGAATCCTTACTCTGCGGGTTGACTTTCATGGGCGGGGTGGGCTGTCGGGCCCCTTATCGGCGCTGCCCCTGCGATCAAAGCGGGGGGGTGGCAGGGGGTCGAGGCCCACAACAGCTGGGCAGGCAGCGAAAACCATGGCTTGGCTCTTGCACCGCAGCCCGCCTCGAGCCTCTGACATCCTCTTTGGGCCATGGGACTGCCTTTTAAAACGGGGGGATGGAGTGGAGGGATGAAAAAACGATCTCGTCGTAAGACACGGCGGGCATAAGACGTCGGGGAGATACGTCGGGATATCTGAGGGCCAGGGGGTCTGGAAGATAGCGCCGCAGCCGATGCAGAGCGCTCAAGAAGGCTCTGGAACGATGTGTATCACTCTAAGGCTCGTGCTTTGTTTTTTGTTTTTTGGGGGTCCTCTCCCTCACACACTCTCTCTGTCTCTCTCTGTCTCTCTCTCTCTGTCTCTCTCTCTCTCCTCTCTCTCTCTCACTCTCAATGCTTATGAATGTATATATATACGTACATATGCACTTATCTCGTTCTGTCTCTGTCTCTCTCTCTCTCTTTTTGTTTTCTCTCTCTCTCTCTGTATCTCTCCTGTGGGGGCCTTCCTCGAGATCCGATCTGGGCTAACTACCCCTGGGTCTTCAGCCAAATCCCCTGGACCTTCAGCCAAATCCAGAACCCCTTGTTTGTGTTGACGGCCCGCTCACGCGCTCATGCACAATGTTCTGAACACCCGCCAC